TTTTTCCCCAACTTTAGCAAGTATCCTATCTGCACACCTCCCTTCTTTACCAAAAGTATGTATTTTTCGCCCTCGGTATCGTATACCTATCATCGACGATGACGTCACTGGTAAGACGATACCTGGGTAAACATTGGCAGCATTTAAACTTCTTCTAACCGACACTCCACAGTGTACCCGAGGAAGGCCTATTAAGAAGGCCGAAAACGTTTGTACTCCAGTTAATAAGGCTAGAAATTAGTGAGAAAGGTTTTGTGCTGATAATCTTATTATATTATATTTATATTTTATATATATAGAGCATTCCATATATTATTTACACTCATGTTGCAAAATTCATATGTTTTTTAAATTATTCTCTATTGAAAAAAATCAACACACATTTTTGCATTTCTTCAGATATTTTTCATTATATAATAATTTTTGATAATGTTGAAAACATCTTTTTAAGTGGCCTGTAACTAAACAATGCCATAAATAAAAACAATATATCAGAATAGCTTTACAACATGATTTTTCTTCTACTGTTCAAATATCAGAATAAAATTTTAAAATATTTTTATAATAATGTCACGATTAGGATTTTTACAAAAATTCAACGTTTTTCATTTTTTAAAATCTTTTAACCATAAAAAATACAAATAAACACATCATTATTCTGCTTTCTTTTATGATGAAAATATTATTAGTTCATAAGATATAAGGTGTTGTATGTGATTTCATTTTTAAACTGTAAAAACTCAAGTCAAAGTGATCATAAATTACTTAAAAAATATTTTATTATAATACATTACATACAACTTAATTGTTGAAATATGATTAAATGCAAATTACAACCTCGGTTTGACAAAACAAAACTTATTCTTCATACTCAGAAGCTTCAATCAAGCATTAACAATAGCTTCAAAGTTAAACACTACACATCCAGTTCAGAAAATGAAATGGTTAAAAAATGGAATGAAATGGTTATTTATTTTCAAAATGTAAACTTTGAAAATAAAATCTAAAAATTAAATGAAGTTGTAATTTGAATTTAATAATTTTTATATTTAATGTTTGTTGTATAAATGATTACGAAGTTATAATGTGTAGCTTTAAGTGATTATTAAACTATATTTAGAAACTCAGTAATAAAATTAAAGTTTTAAAATATGAAAAATAATAATTGAAATATTTAAATATTTGAATATTTTGAAAAATTACAAGATATTACTATAAAACTTTACTTAATATTTCCATATGTTTCCCAGGCTAAATAAAATCCCTTAGCTAGCTCTTCTGTTGCTGGATTACATGGAAGCTACAAAATTGCAAAAATATTAAAATACAGATTATGAACATATACAGAGTATATAATATATTTATTTATTTAAAAATTATGTATTATTATTTATTAAATACACATATATATTATAAAACATATAATGTAATTACATAAATTAATCATAATTTATTTCCTTACAATTTTTAAATATTTAAAAGTTATTAATAAATTTATTTTTACATTTTACTTTATAATACAACATTGCTGAAAGATCTGACTAGATAATTTCCAAATAATTTTAGACTTTTTACTTTACAAACATAAGTTTGAAAGAAATATTTGAACTAATACAATTATTTTATTTATTCCACCAGATAATTTCCTTACACTTAGAAGGCCATTCTACAGTTATAAAATAAATATCACATAATATATTATAATAAATAATGAAGAAATATTAATGTTAAGTGATTAATATTCTTTCTCCTTAGTCCTATGCCTTTCAGAGGATAATTAATGGCTTTAATTGTATCATTCCACTGCTCACAGTGTTGTGCCATTTGGATGGCTTCATACATTGTATGTCCTGTAATCATCATTACTTGGTCTGCCCACTTAATCCGACATCTGCCTCTAGGGCATTTGCCATTGATCTTCCCTTCTAGAATTTGTTTCTCATATCCATTTTTGCATCTGGAAATATGTCCCAAGAAACAAAGGTAGGTTTGGTATATTTAAGTGGTAAGGCATGTTGTGATTTTCAGTTGATTTAGGATGGAGCAATTTGTTTGGTGCTTTGTCCAAGAGATTCTCAGCATTCTTCTGCATGTCTGTATTTCAAAGGAATCAAGTTTCTTCCGAGAAGTGGCATTTATGGTCCAGGTTTCAGAGGCTTAAGTGGCAATTGGAAAAATAAGTGTTCTTATAAGCTTTAGACTATTAAAAATAGTGATTGCAGAATCTTTCCAAATTCTAAATAATTTAGAGGTAATAATTAATTGCCTAATTAAGTAATAAATAATTGCCTTGCTCATAATTTGCATTATGAGCAAGGCAAATTCTGCATTTAATTTCATTACTGCATCCTACTTTATTTGTAAGAAGTGATCCAAGATAAACAAATTCATTCACCACCTTAGTCTGTCTCAAAGAATGATCAATTACCATAACTTTTATTTTACTTCCATTAATCAGCAATCCATATTCTCTGCTCTCAGTTTCAAGATGTTTCATAATATATTCAAGTTCTGATTCATTGGATGCTATAATAAGTGTATTGTCACAGCCCCTGATGGAAATGCCTCCCTAATACCCTTGTAATGATTATTTCAGAATAAGCATTAAAGAGTAAAAGGGAAAGAATACATCCCTCTTACACCAGCTTCAGATGTAAAGGTATTAGACAGTTTTGTTAACTCTTACTCTTGCAGAGTTGTTCTGATATAAATTTCTGAAATAAGATGGCACAGGACTCCCATGGACGAAAGGCCTGGGCACCAACCATTAAACTGAAGAAACTCACACAGGCTACTTTTGCCCCACTTGGAAGGATACCCATATGCTCTGACCAACCCAGTAGACCTAATATCCCTCCTCAAGGAGATATCAGTGCCTCCAGAGTTCATAACAGTTTTAGACTTTAAGTCACTTTACCCATCTATTAGACTCCTACCTACATTTTGTGCCATCAGAGATGTATTTTTAAATGTTGTAAATGACAGCACTATGCACCAGCAAATACTGGAATTGGTGCATCTCTTGTGTTATAATTCCTTGTTCCATAAATAAATAATCAACACACACCGGAAGAATATAATAATAAACTTTCTACAAACCTATAACCAGCATGAAATATGTTCAATTGCTTAGCCTAAGCAATTGAACATATTTCACGCTGGTTATAGGTTTGTAGAAAGTTTATTATTCCTTGTTCCAATTCAAAGGTAGTACTTACGCCCAAGGGAGGGGCGTCCCAATGGGTAGCACCATCGCATGAAACCTGTGTGAGTTGGTGGTCAGGCAATTGGAATCTAGCATCATCCTGGAGCATTTACCCAACATCATACTACATAAACGGTATATCAACGATATTCTCATCTTATGGAAGGTAAAGCTGGACCTATCAGCATTTCTTGGTTCATTCAACGACATCATGCCCTATGGATTGATCCTTGAGATACACCAGGCTCATGATTTCAAGGTCCATTTCCTCGACATCAACATCAAGTTCGAGCAAACTACAATCCACATGGAAGTATACTGTAAATTAGGGTCGGAACATCTAAACATATCTGTAGGGTCATGTGACCCTCCCCATAATAAGATGGCTGCCTTTAATGCCTTAATTAGGAGGGCCCATACTCACTCGTCATCGCAGATAGTTCTCCAGGCCAAGCTAAGGCAGATTGAACATATAGCCAAGGAACATGGCTACAGTACAGTCACATGCAAATTAATCTGCACATGGCACCGATGCCAAGAATTATACCCTACCCAAGTATCAGATGAGGTTCCATCCATTATCATCCCAGTTACATACAACCCCTACCTTAAATCATTATACACTGGCATAGCTAAGAAAAAGAATATTAGCATCACATACCAAAGATGTGCTACAATATTTGACATTTTGCAGAACGGAAAAGACAACCCCAACAAACTAAAACTCCCTGGGGTATACACCATCCCAATCATGGACCATAGATGTGATTTCTTCACAAACCACAAAATATTAACATTATCACGTTTAGTGTCTCTTGATTTTGTGTATCTTTGGGATTTAATTAGCGTTTGGGAAGACCTGGTTTTCCTGGTCTTTTTGGATTTGGTAAGTCCAAGTCTATTATTATTATTACATTGGGTTTAATGAGTTATACTCAGTTGACACCAGTTGCTGTGCACTGTGCCAGACCAGAGTCAAGGCATAGCAACCAAAACAAGACAAAAATTAAATAAGTGTGTCAGTGTGTATCTCTGTATTCAAAACAATTCTTTTGTTTTTATACATATATATCTTTATATGTTTTTTTATAAAGTCTAACGTATAATTTTTTATTATTTGTGTTTTTATGTTCTTTTAAAGGAATGTTATATTAAGTGGAGTTATTTTTTTTTGCCTATGACATTACTTATATTATCAATACATAATTAAATAAAAAATAACAAGAACAATTGTCTAATTTATTAAAAACAAGCACTCATCTTTCATTGCAATTTACAACATCGTGATGAAACTTTAAATCCAAAATAAAAAGTATATTAATAGTAAAATTAATATTAAATAAAGCAAATATTCACATAAAAATTATTTATTACAGTTTTTTTTTTTGAAACTTTGTTTTACATAGTTTTTCTGTTCAATTCTCCTAAATCCCTTATTGTCAATTCTCCTAAATCCCTTATTGTCACTAAATCTGAATTGAAAAAATTCAGATTTAGGTCACATTTACAACCATTTCAATGCTACTTTTAATACATTAAGTACTTTGCTGTGTATAGGTACAGTGAAGTATTTGATGTATTAGAAACCTATGACTCATTTATCATGCTTTTCTATTTGTACTGTAATAAATAAAACCTAACATTAGTATTGATAACAAGATAGTTCAATAGCAGGCCTACAGAAGATTGGTGACAATTGTTTTTACATAAAAACTTCTAATTCTAGAAATTAGGTACTCAATTTATGATTATGATTGCAATTAATCAACTGTTTGGATAATTGACATTCTACTGTGTTATATTGAACATTTTGAGATTGTTGTGAGAATTATGAGAATATTAATTTTCATCAGAGTATGAAAACATTGAAACAAATATACTTGTAAAGAAAAATTAGCATATTTTATTTCAGTTTATTGTAAAATAAAATGTAGGGAATATTATTACTGAGATAAATTTTGAGTATAATTATCTGACATTCTCAGATAATTATACTTATCTGAGAATGTCAGATAAGTATAATGACATTCTCAGATAAGTATACTTATCTGAGAATGTCAGATAAGTATAATTAGAAACTTGGACTATTGCCAATTGAAAATTATGTACAATTCAAGAATTTATATTTGTATAAATTACTCACACAAATAACTTCCCATTCTTAATACTGACTGTATTGTATAGTTCCGAAAATTTACGTCTTAGCACCACAACTTTATGGCTATATTTTTCAGAAATACAAAATTCTAAAGCCCTCTGATCACAAATATTATATGTTATTTCTTCAACAATAAACAGCAAAACAGCACTGAAAAAAAAAAAATAGTATCATGTTAAATTTAAAAAAATAAAACATTAAAATATGGTCATTAGTTTTTATTTCAATATGGGAATATTTCTGTACTTTTTGATACAATGTCAGCAACATTCTAAAGCAGGGATGTCAAACCAAATAAATAATGGGTCAAATTCAAGATTAAGCCTGATTTCTCACTCCAAAGTGGAAAAAATAAGTTTTTCCATATTTTTTAATCTTTAATTATAACTTCATTAAGCTCCTGACAATGCTTTAATTATTAAATTAAATAAAATTAAATTATAAATAAAATTTCTATGTATATTAATGAGACACTTATTAATTTTTTTGTGAAAAAATTATTGTTGGAATTATGACTGTCATAAAATAGCATATTTGCCAACTTTAGTGTATACAGTGATGGTCAACTTTTCATGTAGCTAGCTCTTCAGATATACAATACCTTATTGCACTATAATGTTTTCATTGTCTCCATTAACTCATATTAACAGTTAGGTAAAATTTTCAATATAATACACTAGTCAGATCTTCATCTCTTAACTGATCCATTGGTTTATTTTTTGTCGTGGAAAAAACTATTCACAAGTAATATATGTGTTGTCAAATAGAATCANGATTAAAAATTACTTTTGTATAATTTGATAATTTTCTCCAAAGAAAGCAAAGCATTTTAAATTATATGCAATAATTTGAAAATATTGCTTTACTTCTTTTTTAATAGTTTATTTATTTAAATTTTACTTTATGTTTAATCCAGAGAGCTACAATACCAAGAGAGGCTGTTAAACTGCCATATTTGAAGACAACTGAAGTTTCTATTGCCATGTTTCACAACTGACTGACTTAATGTCTGAGCAGCTAGGTACACTTTCATTTTCTGGCATTCCCACTGAATGTGCTTCTTTCTGATGATTAGCACAAAGTAATTCAACTTCTTGTAGACCCACAAGCCATTCAAAATGAATACAGTTAATTTGGTCATTATTGTTTTCATGGCAGTCACCCATTTCTTAGTCAATTTTTTATCTTAAGAGAGAATATGTATAAATAACTTTTTTAAAAAATTATTAATACTCTCTAATGCAGTGATGAATCCTGGGATATGCATACCGTAGGGACATGTAAGAGGATACATGGATTTTATTTATTTATGGGTCAACTGAATCCTTTGAATTATGTACTAATAACCTTGGGGAATCTCAGAGTACATGAAGAAAAACGTTGAATATCACTGCTCTAATGGCACTATCAAAAAAGTAATTAAAGCTGTCATTGTAAAATGAATATTACTTATTTAAAATAAGAAATACGAAAAGTTTTATTGCTATGATTTGTACAATTATATGTTACACACACAATAGGCCTGATTAAAATGCAAGTGTATGAGATTTAATAAATATATAAATAAACATATAAATATTAGGAAACTAACACAGTCTTCTCAAGACTGAAACCAACTGCTATTTCCTTTCCTTGACATTCGAAAACATGGTGGCCACTACTACTACAATTTTCCTCACTAAGAGGTGCTATGCTATATAGTGGCCTCCTCTCTAGGTATTTAAGCTCAGTTTAATCATTATAAAACTCAAATTTCATAAAAGAATGGTACATGGAATGAAGAAAACAAAATATTAAAAATAAAATGAAAAATACAAAAAATTTTTGTCTTCAAAATCTGCCATTTCAGTCACTATCGACAACCAAAAAAACATATCTTCACTTACAGAGATGACCTTTCATTTGAGGCTATGCCTTTATAAAAAATGTAAATTGGTTTAAAAACATTTACTGGCAATGATACCATAAATTAAAACACATAGTTAATTTGAAATGACCAACAGTAAGTTACATAATAAAAATATAATGATATACAGTATTTATCATTATATTTTTATTATTATAATTTTACAGAGGCATAGCCTCAAATAAAAGGTTGTCAATGGTAACTGAAATGGCAGATTGTAAAGACAAAAATTTTTTGTATTCATTATATTTTCATTATGTAAATTAGCTTCGGCCATTTTAAATGAAACAAAATATTATTTTATGAAAAATTATTTCTTTCATAATCATTTAATATTTCAATCCCAATCAAACAGTGAGATTTCTAATAATTTATTACTTCTTTACAAAATATTTCATATTGCAAAAGTTGAATTCTTATTTTTAAATATACACTGCTGTTCACTGAAATTGCAACAACCACTAAAGACTTGGGTTATAGCCATTAAATTTATTTGTGAGATTACTTGTAATACAAGATATAAATGATCAGTGTAATAAGTGTAGAGTAAACGATAAGTGTAGAATAACGAACTAATGTTACTATATTATGTACCCATGGGTATAACTGTCTGTATACAGTGCACTATTGAGCAATAGACATTCTGGATATAAGTCTGAGGAATATTGTTCTATACAGCATCTACATGTATCCACAATTTGTCAGTGATGGCTGTAGGTGATGGCAGACAGGACAATCTTTGTGTATTGATATCGCACACTGTAATGATGATTAGACCAAATAAGCCCTTAATATTTAATACTTGTAAAGTCTACTAACATAATCAGGCACAAATAGTTTTCTCTGTATATCATAATTGTTCTATCTTCCACATAGACACTGATGTTTATTAAAAACTTTATTTTAAACAACACTCTACACATAAAACATCTTTTAACCTTAACCTAATTATCACCTATAAAATGTGTGTTAATGAGCAGATCAAAGAAGACATTGAACATAGTGAGAATGTAGGTCTTAAAAAATACAGGTAATAAGGACAAGCATTGTCCTTTTCAAAGAGCCATCAGGGATTTACAAAAAGGAAGAGGACTTCAGTTCCAAGATGTCCTTGATATACTGCTGAATGTTCATGATACATGCAATATGTAGAATCTGAGTGATTGAATGAAATTCAATAGCATCCCAAACAATCACACTGGGGATAGGGCTAGTAAATACTGTAAAATACCCACAGTAAATTACAGTAGTAAAAGTTCAGGAGTAAAATCTCTGCAATATCTGTGAGCAAGAGTCTGACTGTCATGATGCATCAGATGATTGAAATAGATTCTTGAAAAACACAATTCACTTCCATTTGGCAATCCAGTGTCTTCATTCTTGGCAACATTAAAGCCTCTCATGTCTATGATGTAGCGTCAAAGGAAGTCACAAGCTATGGACCATTTCTGCAGCAATTAGCAGTGAACAATACTAGCAAAGATATCCTGACATTTTATCATCCTCCATTGCTGTATCCATGCTGTGGATATCACTGTCTGATTTGTCACCACCACATATTACAAGTGACTGCTTTCCCTTTTAGACAGGGACATTGAAACTCAAGATCCTTCACAATGCTGTGTAAAATCTTCTACTGTTCATTCTAACCATGCATATATAACTGTACTAGTTTTTGCTGAACACATGCAACAATACCATATAACAGAACTCCTCTCATTCCAACAATTCTTTCCTCTTTCAAACACTATCAAATGCACATAATATTCTCTCCTTCAGCAACATGGCATGGCTGAACACTAGCAGCACTATTACAGTCAATTTCACTGACAGACTGTTTGGAATTTTGTTTGTTGAACTGTCTTTTATACCTATGGAGTCATGTTTCAGCTAGCTTTGCACAAGCACCAAATCTGGGTGTGCTGAGATTGTATTCATTTGCATCTCTACCAATATGACTTATTTGGCTATAAAATTTCAATCCAATCTGATGTTTTCTTTATGGTATTGTAATTTCAATGAACAGCAATGTATATATTGTATTAAGTCTGTAGCAGAGTATTATCTCATTAAAAAAATACCATTGTTTGAATTTACAATTTAGTGTTCAAATATTTTGTTTATATAAAAATTACTTCCATACTATATATAGATATATTTTTTTTCAGAATATAATCAATAAATATATATCAAAATGTATTCTTATATTTATTACTTTTTAAAATTAATGTTACCTACTGATGGAGTGTTTGTAGTTTTGGGCATAATCCACCAAAACTAGAAGCAATAGTATTTATTTCCACTTGTTTCAATCCTAAATCTTTTTCATTCTCTTTCATATTCAATAAATAATCGGAACGAAGTAATCCAAGACTAATGCCCTACATTAAAATAAAATTAAAAAATAGGTTTAAAATATTGTTTTATTAAATATTTATTTATGTTATGATAAAATTTAAAAAATAAATTTTTCCATATTTTTATTTAATATGCAAGTACTTTTTAAAAAATTTATATTTTTATTTAAAAAAGAAATAACTGATTTTAAGTGCATTTATTTATCATCGTCAACATAAAATTACCTTATACATTTATAATAGCCTAATCAAATTATTAGTTTTAATGAATCATTATTCATTATAACTATCCATAGTTTTTTTAATAAAATGAATTAAAATATATATCATCCATAAATTTTACAAAATCCTATAAAATCTGTGTGTCTTTTAATAAATAATTCTTACAACTTAAAAGTTTCTAGATCTAGAAAAGCTTTCAGTTAGCACAGAATCATCTTTTTGTTTCATTTTCTTTGTTATGATCCTGGATAGCTTAAAGTCAGAAAATGTGAAGTTTGGCATGGAAAATGCTTCATATTCTGCAAGATAGCTGTTAGAAAGTTTCAATAATATGTTAAAGTAAACAAAAGATATGCAATTTCAAGTATTATGATACTTTGGGAGCAAATCATAAAATGCAGTCTATCTCATTCTATAAGTTACTTTCAAGTAATCAATAATGAATTTCAGCCAAGTAATTTCCTCCAATCATAAAAAGTGGAAATATTTGAGCTCTTTCATATACAAAAATATATGATATATGTCACATTTTAATTCTCTGTATGCATATTCAATGTAGACAAAATTCCGTCTACATAACTTCTATCACTTGGCAAACATACCTGCATCATATATTTGTAGCTTGGGAGACTATAAATAACAAAATATAAAACATTGTGGATACTACCTAATATAAATGTTTTATAACTATAAAACTATATATATAATTAAACATTAACAATATATTTTTGAATTCAGGATCTTAGGAAAACCGTTTTTCCATTATTAGTGAGTACAGGTAGTAAAAAAAATTTAAAATTCGATTCTACACAGCTGTTATCAGCAGTGACTCACCATACAAAAAGGGAAGACATTGACCTCCATAATTAGAGGTATTTTGTTAGAAATAGATTAGAGGTATTTTGTTAGAAATGTATAAACTCTCTCTCCTGCATTTGAGAAATTAGGCCTGCCCACGTGGCATAAGACATAGAATAGTTGCACCGTGGTTGAACAATCTAATATCTTTCATTTATCACCATACTTTAATCCCTTTTTTTGTATCCTTATGTATATCTTAGATTTAGAATATATTAAACTTTTATTTGTTTCATTAAACCTGTCTACCTGTCTATTACATCTTATCGACTTCCCACAGTGCTCCCCACTTGTTCGATTTAAAGACCCTCCTACATACATTAATTTAAGAATCGCTAGTTAGGATGCGATTTAGCATTATCCTAACTGGTGTCAGTTCCTGACTGGAAGCCACAAGTCAGAAGTTGCAGGTTTCCGATAAACTCCTAGCCATCCAACAGACAACATAAGGTCTCGCTGACCTGTAGCTGATTAAGTGACATGGGGGAACCCCCGGCTTCTCACATTATAATGTGCTGAACATATGTACTGTACCATATATATATATATACATATGTGTGTGTGTGTGTAAATAAATTTAAGTTAAAAAAACATTAATATATAATCATTAAACAAAAAAAGAACAATTAGTTTTGCAGAAATTCATCAAGTGTTTCCTGAATGCAATTTCTTTATACTTTGCAAGTGGATAAAATCAGCACTGGTATGCATCACAGAAATGGGATATCCTTCATTTCCATCTTGCATAAAATATCATCTTAGTTCAGGAATAAATTTTCTGGCTTCTTTTCTGAGACACCAAGTCTTGATGAGAAGTCTCCATCACATCATCTTTACTTTTTAGGTGTTTTTCCAAAACAACTTGTTCAATAATTGCTTTTATATGATCTTCGCTTTCATTGCAACATGAAAGATTTTTATCAATGTATAAAAATTCTTTACGAGACATCTAGAAATACCCCATAACTACACTGCTGTGTGCTCTCACAGCTGTCAACGATTTAATGCAAGTGTAAGCTGTCCCGATAAAGCAGCAGTATGTCCCACATAAACAAAGTAAATTTGCCTTATATTGTCTTTTTTTTTTTGTTTTGTCTTTCAACATATGTCTCAATTGACCGACATCCAAAGTAACCAAAATGTACTGTATACTGTATTAATATACTCAAAAATCTTTTCAAAGAAATTTAGATTACTACATCCAATAAACGTAATTACTTCCTAAATTATTAAATCATATTATGCATATCTCCATAATAGTCTTTGATATTAGAAGAGTGATAATTTGATTTGTTTTTTCATTTTCACTTCATAATATAACAAGAATCATGAATTTGTCCCGGCAATTTTTGTTAATGTAATTATTAATATTTATGAATTGTGTGTGATACTGCTAGAGGACTTTTTAACTTTTTTACATTTGTTGGCAGACAGTAGCCTCAAATAAAAGGATGGTTCTGCCGTAGACTTGTTAATGCCTCTACAATAAGCGTGTGAAGGGATAGAAGATATGGACTCATGTATATATATAGTCTAGTGAGAAATGTATTTTTTTCTTCTAAAACTTTGTAATAAATGTTTGTGTTATTGTTTTTAAACTATATGTTATAAAACTATCAATATTTATACAATCATTTCTTTAAAGAAATGATTGTATAAATTCCAGCAAAAAGTCTGTTGATGTTCTTTGAAACCAAAATTGAATAATACACATATAAACATCTCTAAGCCTGATAGTTTTATTTAAGCTAAACAATTGACATATTAAATTGGGCTATATTACAGATACTATTAATAATTAAATAATGAATAATTTGGCACTATATGTAGGTATTTTCTAAGTTATTTAGTAAATATTAATTTAATTGTAATTATTAAATTTAATAAAAGATGGTACCAAACACCTACTTCTAGTGCCAAATTACACAGTATTTAATTTTTAATAGAATTGGTAATATAGCCTGATTTAATCCTGCAATCGTTTGGCTTTAAAATTGAATAAGATTAAGGATTGCAGTTTCCCAAAAATATTTCAAAGTTTATAAAAATTCAGCTTCTTGAATGATATTTGTCTATGTTTCAGTGTTAAAAGATATTGTGGAGCTGTTAGTTATTAATATTGAAATCTTCTTTATTATTTTAATTGTAAAATTTCATTAAAAGTTTCAGTAATCAAAAGTTCATCTTTTGTATCTTTTCAGTAAAGTTTTACCCAATATTTTACTAAATTCTTGTTTTGTAAAATTTAGACATAGAAGGAATAATTACATTTATTATTATTGTTTTTTCTTTATTATAATTAGTAAAGACTAAAAAAAATCAAATATTTTCAATGATTTATGACTTTCATTTGAAAAAACTGTTGATCCAACTGAATATATATATAACCCAAATAGTATCAATTTACCTGATTTGTTCCTTCTTGAAGAACAGTCTGATATATCTCAAACAATTTTGCAGTAAATTCATCCACTGTAACAGTACTACAAAATTTAATTTAAACATGATTAAGCAAATAAATTACAAATGAAAAATAAAAGCAAAATAAATTATTGCTATTATTCATCTAAGAGTAAGCTTATTGTGCTTATTGCAAGATTACTCTCATTATGAATTTTTGTCAACTGAATTAGAAAATTTAATCAGTTAGCAAAACTGACGTCATGGAAATTGAGGAATCAAATATTTAACAAGTGATGTAATTTATGACATAAGATTATTGAACTATTGCAAGTAAAGTTTAATTGGGTTGCAATTTGAAAAGATTGTAGACCTATAAATTCCCACTGTGGTCTGCCCATCTGTCCTTCCTTAATCTCAAGAATGGAGTTGGATAAATAAAAGTCAAGACCAAATATAGAAATCTTAGGGACAAGAGGTCCTGATTAACTATATAAAAGCTTCTGATGCAAACATTTCTAATGCACAGAAGTCACATTATTTCAATTAAAAAATTTTTCCCTGAAAGGAGTTAGATAATGACTGGCAGGACTCTGTTGCTCACAGAAAAAGTATGATGTACAGGAGCAAATCAATTTCAAATTTACTCCATTGATCTCAGACGAATTATGAAAATTTCACATGACTATCTTCCAGACTATCCGCATATATATAACTTTTCTAAATTGTCTTTTTTTTAACAATTTAGAAAAGTTATATATATGTGGATAATCTGGAAGTCTATAAATAGTCTATGTGCAGTCATAATTGCAACAGAATTGAACAGAATTCAAAATTTATTAACAATTGCTTATTATGTTCTATTTAAACATCATTTTTTTTAAGATTTAGAAATTCAAGTAATAAATTAATAAATGCAAAAGTCAGTTTTGAAGTAACAAAAAAATAAATAAAATGGAAGCATAAATATCTTAATTGCAAATCTTACTGTAGTCAGACAACTTATGAAAAAGAAATTGAAACAAATATTGTTCCTAGACACGCAAAACAATATGTGCATTCATCAATTGTTTGTAAACAACCAACACCTTCTATAGGAATTCATGATAAATGTATCTAAAAGCTGTAATGATATATTCAAACTTCTCTAAGACTGGTAATTCTATAAAATTTACACTAAGTTCTGCAAACTGTCCTAGTAATGGGATACATATGATCACTTCTCATCTGATCAAAGAAATGACTATCAAGTTTGAAACATGAGTTGTGTGGTATACATAAATATAATTAAATCCTATGCTACAATCTTATTTGTTGAGGTTATAATACAAGTTATAAAAATGCATCTATATTTACATTACTAAAAAGTTCATGCTTTTATGTATACTGTAATAAATTATTTATTTTTTAAATCTTACCTTTTAAGACTTTTTATTAAAAATTCATCATCATAAGCCACATTATGAATTACAGCATTTAAATCAATTTGAATGCTTTTAGCATAATCAAACCAATATGCAGGAAAAGGTGATGGTAAAAGTGTACAAGATAAAGGAACAACTGCATCTAATGGTATATCTTTAACATGCATACCTATTCCTGTAAAAATAAATATTAAACAGTAGAAAAATATATTTATTTTCAAATATTTTATAAACTGTGTGTTATAAATAAAACATAAATATTAGATAAATTAATATATATAGTGATATATGTAAATATAAATTATTTAAGAATAATTTAACCAGGCTTCTTTCACTCAGACTTGCCTGAAGTCATCCTCTAAAACAGGGATGGGCAACCTGCAGCCCACATTGCATAAAATATGAATAAATATATCAATTTCTCAGCTTAAGGAAGTATGCAGCAAAAATTCAAATGTTATTTTCTATGTACGTGAATACTTTTTCTGCAATGAATTTAGTAAAAAATTAAAACAAGAAACTAGCTAACAGACACATCGAAACTAATTTAAACTAGCAGTGACTAATATTTAACCAAATATTTCTGATATATTACATTTACATCAATTCCAGAAGCTAAATTAAGTATATCTATGCTAATTTATAATTATATATGAATAAATAATTTTGATTTACTCCTTTTCTCTCCCCTTTCTCTTGTATGTGGCCCGCTTTAGTTCAAAAGTTTTTTGAAATGCGGCTCTTACATAGAAAACGGTTGCCCATCCTGGCTCTAAAACATTACACCCTCTCTTAAGTCACTCAAAATGGCCAATCTTCTTTTCTTTTCAGCCCCATACAAATCAATGATGTTAAAATCACATCTCTGTAAAGTCTATAAACTAGAAAGAACTAGAAAATAATCTATATTTACAATACTATATAAAGTCACACTTGATGCAATCAAGATTATGTGTATTAGTTTTGACTTTGTTTTGAAAGGCTATAAGCATTATCTTAGTATAATTACAAATGCACTTTTATCACTTTGATTATAAAAGTCTTCATAACTAATATTTTGATAGATTACTATATTTAAGATATGGGAAAGATAGATGAGAAGCATACATTGTTATCTTCTGATAAAACAAATTACTTTAGAAGTATATATCTGAAGTACATCTCAATCACAAAGAATTTACAGCCTGGGCAACAAATGAACTTAAACTCCATTGTACAATATTTTAAATTTTGAAGCAATCTGCTGAAGATTGAAAAAATTAGATCACTCACTCATGAGTAATGCTGTCTTTTTTTCACATTCAAATTGGTACAATTCTAATTGTGAAGTGATATTGTATGTATGTACTTTCATAAAACATGATGAAATGTTTCTAAAATGGCTTGATGAGGAGTCTGAGGAAGAAAATGTAGGGTCCTTCCTCGCAGACAACGAGAGTGAGGATCTCTGTATGAGAATCCTGGAAGTGTTGAGAAAGAAACCAAACAACATCAGACATCCACAGACAACATCAGTATCAAGATGAAAGTGTGCATATTGCCCAAAAAAGAATAGGAAAATAGCATCCAAGAGTGTAACATGTAGCTTATTGCACCAATCTACAGATACCATATAATAACAATCTGCAAACAATGCAATTTTAAAACTGCAGACTAAACAGAATCAGAACTTGAAAAGAAATTTAAGTTTAACAATAATTTCAGATATCATATTTCTGTTTTTATCAATCTAATTAATCTGGTCAGATATCAATTTACTATTTCTATATCAAAATTATTTTTAATGTATTCTAACTGAAGTACCTCGTATAGGAAAATAAATATTAAAATGTGTATTATTCACAAAAAGCTTCCTGATCTTAGCAAAATTTCTTGAGAAAAATCATTTAGAATATGAAAATATGTCCAGTGAGCTGGCCCTCACCCTTGAGTAACAGCATTACAGATCCAACTGTGAGAAGCACCAAGTTAACCCCTTAAGCCGTGGTCACACCATGCAATTTCCAGCCACACAGGCAACTGCAACCGCGATGGCTGTTCTTGTTAACTAGTAAACCCCCTTTGAAAACTGGCATAACTGCAACCTCAACTAGAAACAAAAAGTTTGTTCTACTCATGCTGATTGCAAATGTGCATCCAATCAGCAAATGTCTATTTGCCACCTCATATGGTTGCAACATTTGAAAATACCACATAGTTAGAAAATAATGGTGGAAAGCAAGATGATGGATAGTTTAACAGAATCAAGATTAATCGAGCTAATTCAGTCTCACGAATGCCCATGGTATTTTAATTCTTTGTTTTATTGGAGAAAGGATAAAAAAGCGTAGGTAAGATAAGCAAAAGTCTTGGCATTGATTGTAAGTACCATTTTTAGATTTCTGGATATAAAATGTTGATTGTTTTTAGTTTGGTGACGACAATATTGTTTTAAATATAGCTAAACTCACGAAAGAAGTCTAAAACAAGCTACTGTAATTTTATTGGTTTATTATAGGTTCACGTGTTTCCAAGTTGCAACGCCAGCGAACAATGTGTGACCACAAGAAGACACGTGTGACTCATGCTTGTTGCAGTTGCAGTCACCTGGGCAGCTGGAAATCGCATGGTGTGACCACGGTTTTAGGGGTCAATGAAAGTTTGAGGTGGGCGATAAAACTTTGCAAATATAAAAAATTATTTTAAAATATTAAAAATTTTACACATTTTTTTCGCACTCAAGTAAATGTAGGAAGATAGCTTGTTGGATATATATTTCATAATATTGCATATAATGTTATATAATATATAATAAATATATAATATTGTATATGTAATATACAGTAGAACCCCAGTTAACGAACGTCCTGGTTAACGACCAAATCGGTTAACGAACTATTATTTTGCAAAAATTTTGTCTCGGATAACGAACAAAATTTGGATAACGAACTTAACGGCTTTTTGTGTCAAATTTGTAAGCTTGCCGACTTTTAGGGAAAGTCATTTAATCGTGTGTCGGTGATGATCTAGGGTCCATTTGTACGTTGGTGGTGGTGGAGGAGACAAAGATAACAAGTATTTTACAGTGAAAATCGTTTATTAGAACGGGAAGATGCTTACATATTTGAGGTAGTTGGAAATGGCTTATCTACAGTATTTTCTCTCGGCACTGAGGAGTGGCGTATCGCTGGTCCTACGATAGTGCAAGCTGATCAGTCGTAGCCCCAGAGCGGACGAGATGGGTTCGCTTGGTCACAGAAGCGATGGTAGGTGACAGAGCTGCAACGACTGGAGCGGTCCGCGAGACACAACACAAATTTTAGCGGGCACGACTTCAGGCTTAATCCAGATGAAGACGACACAGATTAATCGCCATAGAATTTTTATGAAAACTGCGTTTTGACCTTGAGATTCGGGGTTTTTATAGTATTTTTTCCTTGAATCTCACCTTATGATTAGTCCTGCGTCCCATTCCTTGCTTCCCGATTGTTTACTTCTTTGTCTCCAGGTGAAAACCGAAACCAAATCAGGTCACGAGAAAGGTTTGTTCCGAAGCGTTTATTTGACACCTGTTCATCGACTCTGATCAGAGATTGTTGATAAACCTATAAGTCTTTCGCTCATAATTTAGCCTATTGTTTCTGCTATCTGTCATTTTAAAACTTTAACGATCGTGTGGGATGTTTTTTATACCCGTCAAATCTTTCCCCTTATCCGAAAATTTAACCTAGATCGACTGTTTATGAGCACGTTTTCCTATATTTTCATTAAAGAAAACCCATTTTACAAATAAAATTACAAAAATACTGATGTCTAGAATGAATTAATCGTATTTGCATTAATTTCTATGGGAAAAATTGCTTCGGTTAACGAACAATTCGGTTAACGAACGGACTCGTGGAACGGATTACGTTCGTTAACCGGGGTTCCACTGTATATACAATATTGAAGTGGATCGATGGAAAAATAAATTTCTTAAAAAAGATCGATATGTGAAAAATGTTGGAAACTCCCGTATTAAAGCATAAAACAAAATAATATAAATATACTTTACACACACCATGCAATAAAGCATAATCTTTTGCATTACGAGATAAATTTCTCAATTCTTCTTCATTAATTCGCGTCTTCATATATACCTCCATTTTACAATGTTTACGTTATCAAAACCACATGTTTTACAGCGCCCTACTGCGCCCCGCACATATTTTACTTTTTTCGAAATTGTCTTAATTTAAATAAGTCGACCATTTATAGCCAACTAAAAGAAGTTTTAACTGCGTCCATGCATTTATTTATTGTATATTTCTTCTTTAAGATACTGTACATATATGCACTAAAACTACTTAAAAAAACATAGGCCTATAAAAATCTTTTTTTATATCTACACTGCGAACATTTTTTCTTTAGGGAAAAGTTAGGCAATGACGCTCAGCTTGCAATCCCGCTCACTTAGGTATTTCGAAACAAAATGGAATTGTGAATGTGATTATTGTGGCCAGGTATAGTTTGTCTATTGTAAGAATCAACTTGGGTATTAACCAGTGAGCATCAGATATTGATCGCTTAATTGTGGCAAGTTATTTCGATTTCTTCATTTGTTAAATACGTCACCGTCATTATAAATAGTATTATGGAAGCGTCACGTTCTGGTATTGGATACGAGAAAGTTCGCTATAGTAGTAGTCAAACGCATGATTGTTTAGTTAATAATTACTATAAAATATTAATCATACCCATTGTGGGTTGGGCCAAGTCTACAATGGGGCTCCGGATAGTGAAGGAAAGGCCAGACATCCGCGACAATCGTCTTGGATTTTTCGATCTTCCGGATTCGATTCCGGATGTTCCATAGTTGTAGGCCAACTGTCTTAACTGTCTAGGCCAGAGGTGGGGAACCTGTGGCACGTAAGAAAAATCATCTGACGCCTAACGGTAATCTGCGATTTCGGTTTATTACCTTTCTTTTTCAATCATCCTTTCGGTTTATCACCCAATCATTCGTTTTCCAATCAGCTTCTTAACATTTATTCTAATTAAAGCATATTCGTTTCGTTTCTTTGAATATCGTTAATCAAAGTCCAAAACTTTGGCATGCATAAACATTTTAAATATAATCATGCTTGCTATATGGCACGCAGACTCAAAAAGTTTGGTTTTTTTTTTTTTTACTCTTTCCGCCCTGTGGGCACTAAGAGGGCCTCTTTTTGCAAGCCCATTATGGGTACGGCCAGGCCCACAATGGGGCTGCCGGGTGGTGAGGGACGGGGCCCGACATATCTGATTTTTTCGACCCGTTCGGATTCGAACCCAGGTCCCCCAGAGCGGTAGGCTGCCACCTTGACCGCTCGGCCATCCGGCCGCATATTTAGGATTTAATTATTTCAGTCGAAGCGGTAGGCTGCCACCTTGACCGCTCGGCCATCCGGCCGAAAAAAAAGTTGGTCATGCCTGGTTTAGGTTCTAGAACAGAATTTGACAACCATTTTTAGTATGCATGCCAAAATCACTAAATCTACGATACAAAATTTTCTCACGTGCCAACCGAAATTTTTGGGAATTTAAGCATTGAGAAACCTTTTTCAAATGATCAAAAATACGCACAAATACTTAATTTAGAAACCGACTAATTTAAAAAAAAGCACGAAGAACATAAAATACGTTGGATACTTATTTATTTTTTTAAGACGAATTTTGGGTTATGTGCTAGAAAAAAAAAACTCATTGTCGCACTACGTATCAAGGGTCGCCTACCCCTGCCCTAGGCCATCCAGCCATCATATTACGCCAGATGGCCGAGCAGTCAAGGTGACAGCTTCCTACCGCTCTGGGGGACCCTGGTTCAATTCCGGACGGGTCGTTAAATTCCCAGGAATTTTGCAGGGGGTGGTCCGTTCGGATATGTCGGGCCCCGTCCCTCACCACCAGCGGCTCCATTGTGGGCCTGGCCGAACCCATAATGGACCTGCTAAAAGAGGCCCTCTTAGTGCCTACAGAGCGAAAAGAGTTTTAAAAAAAGCTACCATATTAATTATTATTTATTTATTATATTTTCCCTCTATTTTATAGAGAAAATAATTCGACAAAAATAAACGAAACGCCAAACGATAATAAAAAGTTTAATATCTTAAAAATAAAGGATGGAAAATTATGTTTAAAGAGTCTCATATATTTAAATTAACGCATTTTAATTTGACTACATTTATTTAAAAAAAAACAAATGTTTTAAAATTAAAATTCTTCTAAATTTATTTAAAATTTGAACAATTATTAATTAATTATTATTATTATGTTTTAAAAACTTAAAATTTATAACAGAAGATTTGGTTCGTAAAAAATCCGTACATTGCAACATTACGTAATATCGATGTCATATGACGAGAACAACCAATTGGATTAAATCGCGACTTCATTACGTCATTAGGCGATCAGGTGCGAGAATGGCGATTCGCGTCAATTAGGATTTAAATCGTGTTGTGGGACTTATGTAGATAATCATTGGAAGATTCGCTCTGGTGAGCTATCATTCTTTCTATGCAGAATATTATAAGTACTGAAGCCTAATAATTAAGATTAATTATGGTCTAATTATTAATGTAGGGGGGGGTTAAAGATCTGTTATGTTTTTATCAATAATTTTTAAATATTGTTCAAATTTAAACTATTTTATTTAATAATTATATGTATAAATAAAGTATGTATACGCGTTACAATTTAAGGAGAGTTATTACCGCACTGTTGTACGTGAAGTTATACAAATTTAATAGGAAAGGGGAAATTATATGGATTAATTTTATGAAATAAAAATGATAACTATGATTTTCAGTTCATACCCTTTGTAGACTTTCAATATTTCTCTCTTAAATATCAATGTACAAGTAAATTATTTAATAATTATAATAATAATTGAATTTTAATGAGAAATTTAATTATGCTTGTTTTTAGACCAGTGGTACAATTTTTTTTCTTTTTTTTTCAATTGGCAGGCTAAATTGCATGTAAATCATTGATAGGTGGATACAAATATTTCATATATATTCCATATATACAAAAAGTAGACTTACTTTTATCATAAGTGATTGTATTAAATATGTTCGTGGGCTTGCTCTGGGTGTAGTTGGGACATCACTGTTTTAGACTTGAGAAAAAATTGTTTATTTCTTAAATCAGGTTTTATGAATTTTTTTTTGTTTGTTTCACTTAGCTAGACAAAACTTCTTTAAAGTAATCCTATTGCATTGGTATAATTGGAATATAAAATAAAACAATAAAAGTATATTGTTAAAAGATATTAGGAACATAACCTATGAAAATTTTATTGTTCTGAATAGAAATATTGGCATTTTGAACTTCCTTTTTTCTAAAGGAAAATTGTTTGGCAGTTTTGAATTCCGTAAATGCATTTTAATATACTTTTTTACTGTTTTGATTTTGTTTTCTACTTTAAAATACATAAAATCTGGATTATCCTGTAAAATTCACAAGCAAAATTAATGTTTTTTTTTTTAATATACTTAATTTCTTACTAATAAGAAGTTAAATAATACATATTACCATATTATTTGCATATTAGTTTGTAACAAGTTGTCATCTAATCATATTTCAGAATTGATTTTATCTGAATTTATAGGCAAATACGGTAATTAGTAATAACTTGTGCATTATTGGTTCAAGGAATTCTGGCATTTTCAATCAATTTAGTTGTCAATATCCTTCACTAATAATTAAATTAGCTTTATAAACCATTTTATTTTTTTAAATTGCAAATTATGTAATTAATTTTTATGGTCTTTCCTATATAAATTTAATAAAAAAATTAAAACATTAAAATTCAATGTTTCTCTGATTTTGTAAACTGTTGTAAAAAATTAAACCATAAATTACAATTCAGTCAGTCTGTGAGATATAGGGCTTTCCCAGCAATATTTTTAATGTGATATCAATATTATACTTGTGCATCCATTTCAGGTTGAGTTCCCTATGACTTCAAAAACTTTTTCAAGTATCCCTCTTCCTTCACTTTATTGCCAATTCTAGCATACAGTGTAGCTATTTAAAGTCTTTGGGATGTCAATCTTTCCACATGTTTCTACCACTGCAATTGACTTTTTGTGAATTTTATGATCGAGTCAGAATATTTTAGCTTCAGTCTTACTTGTATGCTTGTCTTTTTGTCAGTCCACTTGTTATTTGTTTATTTTCCTTAAACATTTTCATTTCAAAGGCTTCCAGCTTTTTGGCTTCTTGTTTATAATTATCCAGGTTGCAGAACCATGAATTGCATTTGGAATTATGATATTGGTAAATAAATTTAGTTTCAACTTTTGTAGATCTTATTAGTATTTCAGATTTTGTACAGTTTATTATATGAGAACCATGTTGTTGCTAACCTATGGTTGACTAAGTTTTCCATAATTAATGTATCCAAATAATTGAATATTTTTACTTGCTTCATTTTATCTCCATTAATCAAAATGTTAATTGAAAAACAAATAAATAAAATAATCATTATTTTTGATTTCTTTATTGGCATTTATAGTCAAACTGAAAATTTGTTTTTCACATGCAGGAACAAAAAGTAAAGGCTTGGATTTTCACTTGGATTGTAATAAGGAAAAAAAGAACCAATCAGTACAAAGATTATTTATTAGACAAACAACAGAACAAGAAATTATTAAAATATAATATCAAGTGTACACATGGGACATTTTAATTAGAAAAAAATGTACCCAATACAGAGGCGAGTTTAACAGGTTTTGGTGCAGAAATTGTGATTATTTGTGTTCTGTTTATTTTGACAAAGCAAAAGAAAATAGAAAACTTTTATAATCTTTTTTAAATGAAGTCTCTCTTAATTATAGCTTGTGAATTTGTGCCTCTTCCCCCAACCTCTTGGCTTCTGCATTTTTCTTTCTCCCCTAGGTTATTCAGAATTCTTTCTCATTCTAATTACTTCTTTTGTTACCATGTCCAGACACTTCAGTTGTGCCTCTTCTTACCTTTTTGGTCTGCACATTCCAAAAAATCTTGCCAAAAGAAATGTTCTATCTTCTACATGTATTACAGCCAGACCAAACTGTCCATTCTCCAATATTAGCCTGAAGGAACTGTTATGTAATCTAAATACTAAGTTATATAAGCGTGAGATTCTGGATAGATTCAAACCCTCTCGTTAAATTTTGTTTAAAAGCTTTCCACTAGGGAAAAAAATTTCAAAAGATAAACACAATGTGAAGATTAAAAATAATAGATGTATTTGTTGGATGACCTAAGTTTGTGTGTCGGATTGGGAAGAAGAACTTTGGCTAGAGTGCTAGTGAAGAAGACAAAATTACAACAAACTTAAGGTGCTAAAAAATGTTGATCGATAAATTATTGTGAGATGCCTAATAAAAATTGTTTTGACAGGCAAGAAACCACAACTTATAGAAATATGAGCAAAAGTTTCAGAGTTTGTTTAAACATCCCATTTTCCAAGATTGAGATGCAGTATCAGATTAACATCATGATTTCAACCTTTCTTGCATCATGATTGGGTTTATTTCTATCTGGAGACAGAAGGAACTAATTGGGGAGGAAAGAGAAGGATTTGGGAGCAATTAACCTGGCAAGAACAAAAGAACAGTGCACAGTACTAGGGGAAAACCAGTCAATCATTCTGGGGAAAAAGATTGACAAGAAAAAGAAACAGTTGACCACTCATCAATTTTGATGCATTTGAATATGATGAAATCACATTAAAACAACTGAATACTATGAGTGAATTATGCATAATATGTTGTCCAATCCTGTTTCGTTATTTTGTGGATTTCTATTTCAGTACAACTTAGTACTTCTGTTGCTTCAGCTAAAAACTTATTAAATTTGGCATCTACCATTGGTTGTGTGATGTTTTTACTAGAAAATATATACAACCAAGTCAAAGTTTTTTATATTGGAATTTTGGTGAAACCATATTTACCTGCTAAATACCAAGTTAGTTGTCCATTTAATTTTTTTTTTTTTTTTAACTGTGTATTTGCATATTTTTACTGGATTCTTACCTTCTGGTGTTTAAAAACAAAAGTGTTTTATCTGGGTCGTTTGAATCATTCTTGTGTATTGTTAGGAGTAAAGATGAATAGCAATGTGAAAAACAAAGCTTTTGAATTGAATTCCAAAATTACATGGGAGCCTGATATAAGTTTTAATTCATCTCCATGTGAAAACAGATGATGAATTTCTCTGAATTCAGATTTCAAAATAATAATTGTAATCGACAAAGAGTGAATTCGACTGTTAAGAATTGGCAAAAAATGTTCCCAATTGTCCAGCTTTCATGAACAAATTGTTATAGATTTTACAAGATTTTTCCTTGAAGTTTAAAATGCCAGTAATTTTTGCAGGACAATGTGTGCATTTATGTGCATTTGATATTTTATTTCTGATTAAATAAAATTAGAATTGTATTAATAAATCTAATATTGTTTATTTTGATCTTTAAAGTCACACCTCATCCTATATGTGAGTAAATACGATACATTGGCTTTTTTCAGATTCAAAGTTAGGAAAATATTAACTTTTGAGTTTTTCAAATTTTCATGAAAGAAACTACCTGTGGTCTCACACATTCCCATGTGTCAGCTCATATGTGACTTGGGAGGTAAATAGTAAATATTCCAAGCATGTGAGTTATACGATTTGGTGATGTAGTTATAAAATTAAATTTGGAGGAATTTGAATTTGCTGATTTTGAATTATATGACTTCAAAGTTGCTTAGTTAAATTATGATTATGAATTGAGATCAACTGTCTTTTTTTTTGTTTTGTTAAATAATAATAATTCTAAGATATTGTTAATTTAAGAAGGCTTTATTTGTACAGAAAATGGATTATTTTTGGTCAAACATGATCTGTAATTAAACATCTGTGATATCTGGAAGTACAGTACCTAGTGCACCTGCTGGAGAGATGTGGTAATGCCAAAATCATGTGATAGCTGCAGCCAACTATTGTGATTTATTTGTTTCTACTTTCATGTGCATCTTCTGTATACCTGAGAGAGGCTAGCTCACAAATGTGAATGTCATGCAGGAGCAGATCTAGGTTTTTTGGGGCCTATGGCTTATTGAAGTCCAATGGGGCCCCATTTTTTGTTATATTAAAGATCTTTACATTGATTACAATAAAACAAGTAATACTATACTATAAATTATTATATTATTAATAACTATTTTTTACTATACAATAAGTGTGTAAGAGGTAAACGCGAAAAGAAAACATGCTCATGTGTTAATCAATTAAAATGAATTTAATTTTGTGACAAAGATAAATATATACAAATTCTTTATGGATTCCCGCTGTTCCTTTACACACTTCCAATTATCCTTGGTGTTCATATTGTAACAGTAATCCGTGTAGTTAAGTCCCATTAAAACTACTGCCCGACAATAGTACTTAACTAATGCAGGCAAATCTTAATCGAACTTAAGTCTAATAGAAAGGAAAGTAAGAAGGATCATAAGGACAGATGGGT